CACACACACATACCCCCCCCCCACACACACGCATACCCACACACACACACACCTACATTCACATACACACATCACTTTCACATACACACATAAATGCATACAGCGTCAAATACTTGTAAGATGGTTCTTTTTCTTTGAAAAACCACATCTAAATTTTACTAAATTGTGTGGATGGGGGGACGTTAAAACACCGACATTTAAACAAAAAGAAATAAATGTTTTTACTTGACTATTTGCCAGACAGACTTTTCTTGACTGTTTGCCAGACCGACTGACCGTCTGACCAATGTACCGTCCACTCCCCAGGTCCCGGCCTACCGCTGTGAGCTGACGGTGACCTCCCTGCAGCCCAACGAGCGCTACGTGTTTGCCGTGGCGGCCTACACCAGCGACGGGAAGCTGATCGGGGGCGGGGTAGGGGAGACCACCAAGCCAATCCTGGCCTCCCACGCGCTGCCCGTGCTCATGACCTGGGCGTTCATCAGCCAGGTCAGTCGGCCGCTCGGTCAGGGGTACCGCGGTTTCTTCTCTTGATTTTTACATTTCTTTTATGATGGACTTTAAAAAAAATTTTTTGTTTTTTTTACTCTTATTACTCGGTTGCGAACGCCGTAAAATTCTTACGAAACTGAACTTATTTTTTTTTGCAAGACTAGATAACAATAACAGGTAAAAGAACATTTTAGAAAGGAACATCTACAAATATATTTTAAAAAGAAAAGTAAAAAAGTAAGAGAAAAAGATGGCGGTTTACATAAAAGTTAAATCTAAGAAATACAAATTTATACTTTTATTATTTTTCCGCTCCCTCCACCCCCATCCCTCCTCAACAGATGGCATACCAAGTAGGCTGCTACAGCATCGCCCGTCAAGCCTGCTCCGTCCTGTGGGATCATTTTGTGGTGACCCCACAACCCCCAGCCAGTGCTACCTACATCAGTGAGGCCAAGAAAGACTTCAAGTTAACCCTGCTGAGGTAAGATTTGAACCCTAACCTCTCACGTATGCCGGTAAGGCAAAAAAAGTCTTTCTATTGACCCTGTTAAGATAAGGGAATAGAGGACTATTTTAGTGGATTTGAACCCTAACCCTAAGTCAGCCTCATGTACATCAGTAAGGCATAGAGAGACTTCAACCTTACTCTGCTCATGGCAGGGACTTTTGTACCATGATATATATCTGTTGGATTTGAACCTTAACCGTAACGTTTTCACAACTTACGTTAATCTGTTCAGTTATTGAAATGTGCAACCACTTTGAACTTGAAATCTAACCCTTACGCTTTCCCTTCCTGACCTGGAAGGTTTAGGGCTCAAATCCTCTGTGGTGCTAGATAAATTTTTTCCTGCGCGCTGTCTGCCCTACCTACCCCACCCTCCTGGAAGGTTTTGGGTTCAAATCCTTTTTGATGTTATAGTTCTCCCTATGACAGACTTAATTTTCTCAAAGGGTTTAGGGTTCAAATCCTCTGTGATGCTATCATTTTTCTCCCTTTGACAGATTGAACCAGCGGGCTGTCTGCCTCTCCTCCCCCGTCCTGCTGCGCCAGTTCCTCACCAGCATCTTCATCAACATCGACATCGCTGTGCGGGAGGGCCACTTGTTCTGCGACACGGTGTGCGACAAGGGCGCCCTCTACCATGGCCAGACGCAGCGACTACACCAGTGTGAGCGCACCCTGGTGGCCGTCGAGCTGGCCGGCTGGCTCAACGAGGCCAATCTGGCGCTACAGGCCGTGGTGCAGATCTACGGGCTCCTGGCGCCTCTGCTCTACTACAACATTCCATCGCTGCCAGTCATTCAGGTGAGAGATTGTGGGTGGTTGGCGGGTGCTCTGGTGTGGTTTGCTGCTTCTTTCCTATCAGACGTCTATCGTCTTTATCTCCCCTCCTTCTTTTTTGTGTTTGTTACTCTCTTGTAACACCTCTAATCTTCTTGCGCTCATATGACCTTATGCAGTTGTGAGCGCAGTAAAACCTCTACTAAAACTAATACTCTTTTGTTAACACCTCTAATCTTCGGCACTTATATGACCTTATTGTTTTGCAAGTGCCGTAAAACACTTACTAAAACTAAAACTAAAGGTGAGAGATTCGAACCACAAGTCATTTTGGGTATACACAAACTCAGAACTCATTCAGGTGAAAGATTTGAATCACAAGTCATTTAGGGTGTACACAAACTAAGAACTCATTTATGTGAGAGATTCGAACCACAAGACATTTAGTTGAGAGAATCAAACCGCGAGTCATTTAGGGTATACACAAACTCAGAACTCATGCAGTTGAGAGATTAAAACCTTAAGTCATTTAGGGTATACACAAACTTATAACTCATTTAGGTGAGAGATTCGAGCCAGAAGTCGTTCAGTTTAGACTTGAGCTAGAGACAGTATACTTAACACTTCAACATTGTTTTGCTGCCCGTCATTCAGTTGAGAGGTTCATGTTTCTAAAATGTACAATCATCATTGTAGTTTTCTAGGTAAAAGTTAAGTTTGCATCCTTAACACTTTGCAGTCACTTGGCGCAATCATGCGACAGTGAAAATTATCCGTTCTGGTCACCTGGCAGTTCTGCACCAGGCCCGAGAAGTCCATTGCAGTCACTCTCCTGGCTGGGTGACCAGATGGGGTATTTTGTACTGCTGGCTGTGTGACTGCAAAGTGTTAATAATCTAAATTGAGTCGATGGGGGCTTAAAATGACCTGCATTGAACTTGTTCTGTGTGCAGATCCTGCAGCGTTGTCATGCCGTTCTGCTGGAGATTCCTGTGGGTTTGATCCAGAAACGTCAGGGATTCATAGCGGACAGCCTCAACCACATGGTGGCCTGCATCACCTACCAGATGGCCAAGGTTGGAAACCTTTACCTAAACACTTGTACTGACTGACTGCTGGTGTTGTTGTTGCTGTTGTTTTTGTTTTTGTTGTTGTTGTTGTTTTTGTTGTTGGTGATGTTGTTGTTGTTGGTGGTGGTGGTGATGTTGTTGTTGTAGTTGCTGTTGTTGTTGTGGTTGTTGTTGTTGCTGTTGTTGTTGTTGTTTGTTGTTGTTGATGTTGTGTTGCTGCTGCTGCTGCTGCTGCTGCTGCTGCTGCTGTTGTTGTGGTTGTTGTTGTTGTTGTTGTTGTTGTTGCTGTTGATGTTTAGTGAATGAAGTGAAGAAGCAAACTTAAAGTGCTTAGTTTGTCAATGTTATATGTTCATTAATGTGTTGTTTTCCAGAATATTCTAATAGAAAGCTGAAAAGTTAAAGTACCTGTCAATAGTAGGGAGAAGATTATGAAATGTAAGGAATGAAGAATTTATCATTGCTTGAGGGGACAGGGGTTGACACATAGATCTAATGTTATTTCTTCTACTGATATTATTTCAGGGGAAGAAATAATATGTGAGGCAGCGTGGTGGAATCAGGCTCTCGTCAAAATAAGCAAAGTGAAGAAACTTGCATTTTTCCGCAGATTTATGAATTTTTATCAAATTTTTGTTTTTTGGCTCAACACCTTTCATGCCCATTAAAGAACTCTTTTCTGTTTGAATTTTTCTGAAAAACGCTGATTAAAGGCACAAAAAATGTAAATTTTCAGTAACCGCGGACTCTTAAGCTAAGGAAATAACTAATCTTTGGCGGCCATTTTCTCACTAATTTTACCTCTGAAAACAGGTGACCCCCACCTCCTTCATTCGCAATTATCTCGACTTGTTTTCAAGATAAATGGATATTTTTTTCATCCAAATAAAGACAAGTGAACAAGCTTTAAGATGATACCAGTAACTCTACATGCCCAAAAATTGACGAGAGCCTGATTCCACCACGTTGCCTCACATATTATGTGTCAACCATCAACCCCTGACCTGTGTGTGTGTGTTTGCCCCCAGACCCTGCGGACGTGGGGTCAGAAGACCCTGGCTAACACGGTCATCGAGGCCGGCCGGCGTCTGCTCACCTCAGAGACGGATGCCAAACCCTCGGAGGACAAAGCTGACGGAGCCGAGACAGAGGCTGCTAGCACTGCTGCTGGTGGGTGGTTCTCTCTCTCTCTGTCTCTCTGTCTCTCTCTCTCTCTCTGTCTCGCTTTTTCCTCCCTCTCTCTCTATCCTCTCTTTCTCTCTACCCTCTTTGTCTCTCTCTGTCTGCCCCTCTCTGTCTCTGTCTCTGTCTCTGTCTCTGTCTCCTCTCTCTCTCTCTCTCTCTCTCTCTCTCTCCCTCCCTCCCTCGCTTTCCACCCCGCTTTTTCTCCAATCTCTCCTTCCATGGCTTCCTGTCTTTTTCTTTCCTGTGACTTTTACAAAGCCACTCATGGAAACAAAATCTTTCTCACTCTGTCGCTTTTCACGCTTTCTCTTTCTCTCTCTCTCATTCCCTCCTCTCTCTTTCCTCCTCCTTCCCTCCATGCCAAATAATAATTTTTTTAAAAAGCAAACGGGGCTGAGACAAATTCTTCTAGCTTTGTTACTGATAGGGACTTACAAAATTCTCTCTGTCTTTCACTCACTCACTCACTCTCTCTCTCTCTCTCTCTCTCTCTCTCTCTCTCTCTCTCTCTCTGTCTCTCTCCTCTCTCTGTCTCTCTCTGTCTCTGTCTCTCTCTCACTCTCTCTCTCTCCCCCCCCCTCTCTCTCTCTCTGTCTATGTACACATCTCTCCCTCTATCTCTCTGTATTCCCCACACAAATCCTGAAACAATTTTGTTCAAAGGTATAGATGTAGCTACCCCCAATCTACCCACCCCACAGGTTCTGCCTTGCCCAGCAAGGGAGGGAAGAAGAAGGGGCTGATACCTCTGGTGAAGAAAGTCTCGAGCAAGGACGACATGGAGGGGCCGGTGAATGAGGAGTTGAAGGCTTTAGAGGCTCACATGTTGAGTGTCACCAAGGCTGGTGAGTACATACACACACATACACACATGCACACACACACTCACAAGGACGACATGGAGGGGCCGGTGAATGAGGAGTTGAAGGCTTTAGAGGCTCACATGTTGAGTGTCACCAAGGCTGGTGAGTACATACACACACATACACACACACACACAAGGACGACATGGAGGGGCCGGTGAATGAGGAGTTGAAGGCTTTAGAGGCTCACATGTTGAGTGTCACCAAGGCTGGTGAGTACATACACACACTTAGACACTCACATGGACACACACACTCACACACAAAGACGACATGGAGGGGCCGGTGAATGAGGAGTTGAAGGCTTTAGAGGCTCACATGTTGAGTGTCACCAAGGCTGGTGAGTACATACACACACACACATACACTCACACACACAAGGACGACATGGAGGGGCCGGTGAATGAGGAGTTGAAGGCTTTAGAGGCTCACATGTTGAGTGTCACCAAGGCTGGTGAGTACATACACACACTTAGACACACTCACACACACAAGGACGACATGGAGGGGCCGGTGAATGAGGAGTTGAAGGCTTTAGAGGCTCACATGTTGAGTGTCACCAAGGCTGGTGAGTACATACACACACTTAGACACACACACACACACACACACACACACACACACACACACACACAAGGACGACATGGAGGGGCCGGTGAATGAGGAGTTGAAGGCTTTAGAGGCTCACATGTTGAGTGTCACCAAGGCTGGTGAGTACATACACACACACACATACACTCACACACACAAGGACGACATGGAGGGGCCGGTGAATGAGGAGTTGAAGGCTTTAGAGGCTCTCATGTTGAGTGTCACCAAGGCTGGTGAGTACATACACACACTTAGACACACTCACACACACAAGGACGACATGGAGGGGCCGGTCAATGAGGAGTTGAAGGCTTTAGAGGCTCACATGTTGAGTGTCACCAAGGCTGGTGAGTACATACACACACACACATACACTCACACACACAAGGACGACATGGAGGGGCCGGTGAATGAGGAGTTGAAGGCTTTAGAGGCTC